ATTTATTTCATTAGATAGATTCAAGTATTTCAATTGTTTAAAATGGAAGGAATTATGAAGTAGTTGAAATTGTTAAGGTGTATGAAGTTCTCTAAAATGAAAAGAACTATAAAATAGTTGAAATTGTTAAGGTGAAATTGATATATATATATATGTGTGTGTGTGTGTGTGTGGGTGGGGGGTTAGTAATATGAGATTATAGAAATCGAATGAGAAAGGAAATTGAAGGAGAGAGAAGCAGAAGAATAAGAAAGAAAAATGGGTATGTGACTTTTGGTACAGAGGTACTGGAGGTGAATTTTATTTTTCCCCTGGAAGGAACCTGATTGGATGTGTTTATTTCTTTTTATATATGGATAAGTGGGTTGATTGATTGTGTATATACTGTAGTTATTTATATTTTGTTATCTCACTTGAATAATTTGAGTGAAAATAGTTGTTAATTGGAATGGTGGAGTTGAAATTTCACATAAATGGTTGTGGTCATGGTTTTAAATGAAAATTGTGATTTATTATTTAATTCTTTCCAGAAATATATATGACATGGTTATAATGTTGTATAGGTAAGGAGAAGGACTCGACAATTTCGACATTTTCAGGGAAAAAATAAATAATTTGGGAAGTAACCAAGGTGAGTGTACTCACTAAAAGTTTTACACTTGAAATGTTAAATTGAAGTATTGAAGTTGTTTATGTGATATGAAGATACATATATATATAATTTGATTATGTGATATAAGGTCCATACTCTGGCCTGGAAAGAGAGTAATATATTATATAAGGTCCATACTTTAGCCTGGAAGGAGAGTGTTATATTTTAAATGCCTGTAAAGCTGAAAGTTTTATGCTATGGAGTTAAATTGAAATTATTAGATAATATTTGTGTATATTTCCATCAATTATTTATATAATAAAATTTTATTCCTAAATAAGAATTATTTTTCAAATATTTTTTTTTAATCTTTGTAACACCTTTTCAATACCCTACCTAAATATTATTCAATCCAAAACTCATATATTTTAAATTTTACTTTCTTTAATCTTTGTAACACCCTTTTCATACCATACATAAATATTATGTAATACAAAATCCATATATTTTAAATTTTCATATTTATTTATTTCATTGAGTGAGTGTGGTTTAGTGGTTGTTTTATTAATATTTTTGTATTATAAATATAAAACTGTTATAATGATCAGATATTAAGGGCAAAAATGTAATATGCACAATTTTCAAACTTCAACTTTTATATATAACAAACAATCTTAATAGATTCAGCACTTAACATTAAAATGTCATCAAATAGGTTTTTAAATTAATATATTCAGCGCTTAAAGTTTCAACGCTTAAAATTTAGTATTTGAAATTTTCAGTGCATAATTTTTAATTTTATAAAAGTCATTGATGGCATCAAAATACATATACCATTCCAATCTTTTGTCTTTGGCTGCAAAGAGACTGAAAATTTTAACCAAATCTCACTGCACGCAATTCATGAAGCGAAATCAAAACACCAAAGAGGTGAAGAGACACATTGGACCATCTATACCACGGAAATAGAAATTAAAATTTTCTGTTTTCATTATTATTATTTTTAAACCTTGACAATAATAGAATTACACATCTATTTTATTTTTGTGGAGACTTGAACCTTATACCTTTTATTTAGAGGGCGGTGATTTTGTCTTTATCCAAATAGTCCAAACTCATTTTTAAATAATCTACTCCAAGCAATTCACGAAGCAAATTGAAAATTGAAAACATCGAAGAGGTGAACAGATTGTTTGGACAATGTACTTATACCAAGAAATTGGAAATTTAAGCTTTCTTTTTGTTTTAAAGGGACAAAAGAAAGATCTTGTTACTTCTTTTAACCGTTTTTTATCTCTAGTGGACCTCTCAGTAGGATTCGAACACATATAAAGTTCTGACCATCTTGTAGGATTCCCAATAAATTCTTTGAATCTAGAAAAGAAGGTTGAGGATTGGAACAAATGTATAACAAGAATTCTTGGAGTTCTTTGGGGATTTTAAATTTGGTACCTTAAAAAATGTTCAGCCACATGTTTTGGGTGGGGGGTGGGGGGAACCCATGGAATAATTGGGCTACCCAACCCAAATCGTTAGATGAGACAGAATGATGTGGGCTTACCCAAATGAGACTTGCTCCTTGAAGGCCCAAGATGTGGTGACATCTAACAACAAGCATAACAATAAAAACATTTTGAAGTTGTCACCTGGGAGAGAGAAGCCCAATTATTCATCCAAAGGGGGGAGAAGTGCTGGACATCAAGAATAGGACAATTCTTGTCTATTCACTGGTGAGTAGGAAGCATTTGTTTATCTTGATGTGGTACACAATTAGTAGAACACATGTTCCTATAATATAAAATAATAAAAATTAAAAGATTTGAGAGGTTATTCGGATTAAACCCAATATGATCCAAATTTAACACTATTTTCCTCTCTCACATTACTCTTTTTGTCCAGGGAGTGAATGAGAAGGGGATCTTGTCGAAAAAAAAATAAAAAATTTAAGCTAAAATTCTTAAATAAAATAATATTACAAGATACAAACAAAACTCTGGATGATGAATAGAAAGAATAACTATAAATGTAATGATACATAGATATTTATTTTCCATTAAAAGAAAAAAAAAATAATCAGAAATAAGTAATAACAATCTATCCTGCAATCAACAAATTTTCTATCAAACCATGTGAACCAAATTTTATGTAATTTGGTGTACTTTAGATCAAAATAATTGATAAGTATATATAAGGATTGCACATTAAATCATGAAAGATAAAAGTCAAAACTTTCATTATTAGCAGATTAGGGTTTCAGCGGAATAGTTTGAGAAAGAGAAAGAGAGGGAGAATTAAATTAGGATTTAATTTGCATCCATTTGGGTTGATCCGGTAAGCATTTAAAATTTTTAATTTTTATTATTTTCTATTTTAGGGACACTTGTCACATTACTTTTACGCTACATTAAGGGTAAACATGTATTTCCTATTCACTGGTGAGTAGGCAAGTATTGTTCTCAAGAATATATGACTAAAGCTTTCACGAAAGAATTAAAATTTGTTTGGTTTAGTTTTTTTAGAATAAAGTTTTATTTTTTGAGAACTAAAATTCAAAAAATTGTACAAAAATCTATTTTGTTGACAATTTTTTGAAAATTAATTTCAAAAAACTCAATTAAAAAAAAAAGAGTATGTTTTCAGATAGTTAATTGTCTTTTATAATTTTTTGAAAACTTTAACTGTTTTTATGAGTTTTTAAAAATTATATTACGAGTGACAAACTAACAGATAGATTGTGTTCGATTGACACAATGATAACCATCTACTTGTTTGGTAATAATTAGTATAGCTCAAATTGCATCCCAATATATCTATCTGGGGGGTGAAGGAGTAATAGATGAATCTCCATGAAGCAAGGCCATTATTCAGCTCCATGACAAAATCCATCAATGACAGTCATGGAACTGCCATAGAAACAGTTGAGCACATTTATTGTGGTTGAGAGGTCTCAACCAAGGGAGAAAAAACTAGTGGAATGGCCATAATTGGATTTCATAGTGGTGACCAGATAAGAATGCTTTTCATTGTGGAGTCTTGCCATACCCATACTTTGTTTACAAGATAATGCTAAGCAAATTATAATGTCTCTCTTGCTCATCACAGCAAAGAGGACATTGATGGGTCCATCCTGTCAGGATAGTGCTTCCCCAACCCTTTTTGTTGCTTTTAGTTAGGCTTAAACACACACACACACACATCTATTTACTTATTTTGTTATTAAAACGAATTACTATTAAAGCTATTAAAAAAGACCTTCGGTTGACACACACACACACACATATATTTCATGTCTACATACATATATATATTAAGATCAAGTTTGGATTTCTCTCTACAGCACGAGTGTTGTACTGCATAGAATAACCATGCCTCACACACAATACAAATTATGTTTGAAATCTAAATGTACGTGAACTAACACATATTCGTAAATTGTGAGTCGTTCGATGCAGTACAGCAGCATCTCAACTCATACATCAAATCTACTTATAAATCATACATTTTTTTAGACCAAGCTTAATGAAACATAGAGCGACCTAGGTTTGGCAACGTATTATCAATTTGAACCAAATTTTGTTTTTAGAAAACGATTCTGTTGAAAGAGTTTCAATTTTAATTTCAAGACTTCAATTATATACTTCCAACAACTGCAACATAAATGTTTGGAGAGAAGTTGAGGCTGGCTCTATGAAGTGAAAGAAAACAAGAAAGTCAACTTGGATTAATTTTGACATTTTGTTTTTGTTTTATTTCAGTACCACCATAGTAAGTTGAAAGTTCAAAATATGCTAAGTACCGTACAAGTTAGCTTCCATGCCAAAACTGTCAACTGCAGGTGATTTTCATGACATAGCCATACAATTATGGGGGCTGAGAAAATTAAGCTGGTAGGCCAACTTTTATCTAACCAAAGGGAGATGGGCATGCTCAATCATGGTTTGAACTTTTCCAGTCTTTGACAATCTAGTTGGCCCTTTGTTTTCACCTTAACTTCTTGGAATGTCAAAGCCAATCTTAACATATGTGCTTAGACATCCGAGACAATTAGGTTAATGTACGAAACTCTCGTTTTAGGGTGAAAAGAGTCAGATGTAACGTAACGTGGTGAGACTGTCTTTTTTTTATTATTATTATTTAGTTATTATTATTGTTTTTGAATGGTATGGTGAGATTGCTTTCCAGTTTCAAATACGTATAAAGATTTTGATAAAAAAAAATTGTAGTATTAAGAATACTTTTGCAATGTAATTTAACATGCATAAGTGTGTGTTGAATTTTTATTATAAAAAATTATAAAAATAATCCAGAACGCCATCACTATAGTAATTTTATCCGTCAATACACGTTTTCATAATACTAACAACTCCACATATATTATGTATTTATATACACAAAAGTAACAAAAATATACCCAATGACAAAGAAATAGGAATGGAACAATAGGATACAATGGAACAAAGAGATAAATCTCTGAACTTTATATCTACCCTACAAAAGAACTGACATGTGGCAGCTATAAGACTGACTGCATAGAAAATTTGATACATTAAACATATAGTATATATATGTATGTGTATGAGCCATAAAAAGATATATATATCTCTCTCTCTCTATATATATATGGTTTTCATGGCTTCTGCTTCTGAGTGTAGATATAATCAATGTGTGCAGCTAGTGTTCTTCTCATCAAACACTCTTCTTCTCCAATTCCTCCACAATCCTCCTCCAACTCAACCTTCTCCGATTCACCAACCTTCAAAAATTAATGGAAAAAATAAATAAATAAATGATTTAATCAAAACCCATATAAATATAATTGTGTACATATATATATAATTGATGATAAATATAGTTGATATTTAAGGAAATTACTTACCCCATGTTGGGTGTTCATCAGAGGAACATGGTGAAGTGCTGGCTCTGGCCGGGCAGCGGAGCATGTTAGCGTGAAGAAGAGGAGGAGTGCTATCATGCAAAGGGTGCTGACCTTAGACATCTTCTTTATCTGCTCTTATGATGATTTAATGGTCACAACTCACAAAAGCAGAGAAGTGATACACAGAAGAATGAATGTGTGGGAATGAATTTATAGATGGAATTTGGATGGGCAAAAATGGAATTATGCTACAAATGGTCAAAAAAAAAAATGGAAATTATAACAAATGCTAAAAACACGTCAGACTGCTCTGCGTTGGGTTTGACCCGGTTTGGGGCAGTCCCTGTCGATAAAAACTATGAAGGCTTCTAGAAAAAGTTAATGCGTACTTATGCATATTAAATATAAATAAATAAAACCCGAAGGGGCTGCTCTTGTGATAAAATCAGTTGTTCATGGGTGCTTATAAGTATCAAGTTCTGAAGTTTGATTTTCATTAAAAGTTTACAATAATTTGGGGTTACGTATTTGTTGTCATATTCAGCGATTTATTTGGTCTATGAGGTCTGTCATACTCAACAATTTATCCGTCTTGAGGTGTGGAGAGATCCTTTTTGAATCTCTGTGAATTAGTCAGGACCAAATCTCAAATGCCTGAATTATCTATATATATATATATATATATATATATATAAAATAAGTTATAAAAGAGGGCATTCCCGCCTTAGCTCGTGTCATTTGTCCATAGACTTAGATTTTCTTTGAACAAAATGAATAGGAGTCTTAATTAAATTTTATTAAACAAAATAATTATAAATATATCGATAATTATTATTTCTTTTGAATTAAAAAAGTTCATTTTTTGATTTTTTTTGTTTTCTTTGTTTTATCTTTCTGATAGGAAAAAATATATATCAACTATCTAATTCTTACTTGTTTGTTTAAACTGGCCGGTTCTTAATTTGTTTGAATTAATTTTGAAAAAAAAAAAAAAAAAAAAAAAACTTTGAGCGCATTTGAGATCAGCCCTCCAAAATTTGTAATTCTAGAGTATTATTCTTAATTTGTAGCTCAAGATTCTGAAATATGACATAATAAGAGGTTCATATTTTATCAAACATTTTTAAAATAAAGACTTATGCGTTTTTGTGAAAATTTACTTCGATTATAGATGTAATAGACTTTTCGAAAAGATAAATTGTAGATGTAATAGGTCCAACCCACGACCAATTGGAACAAAAGAAGAACAATGAATAGTAAGAGTGAACATTTAATTAGTACTCTTCTCAATTTTTGTCCTTGCATGGTTTACTATTTTTTTTTCCAACCTTGATGGTTTACTTAACGTTCTATATTACTGTTCTATATTACTGCAAAGGATTTCTTCAAATTAATTATTTTGAAAATAATGTACTAGTCAATTTTTTAAGTTGTCATTATTAATTATCATTCAAATTGGTTCTCAACTATCTATTTTGGTATTTTGTTATAAGAGTTTGGAAACTTTTCCAAAGAAAAGAAGTGATACAGTGCTCTCCTGTAGAGTGTCCCTAGCTCTGCTTAGGGTGTGAAAGTTGTTCCTCCGGCAGACAATCTTTCCTTTCCTCATCCTTTCTTCCTCTTTCCTTCCCGTTTCTCTCCTTATGGACGACATAGCCTCAAAGCTCCATGAATTTACTTTAACCCTTAAAGAAGAAGAAATTATAGAGACAACGCCAGAGGATCTCCAGATCGGAATTCACGCTTGCCATCGTAGCCTCTTCACCAAGATCTTATCAAATAAACCAACCCCATTCGGCGTCCTCAAGAAGGTGATGGGCGAGGTTTGGAAATGCCCTTTTCAGGCCTATATATTATCTGACGACAAATTCCAGTTCATATTCGCTTCGCACAACGATGCTCAGAAATTTTCAACTCCAGTCCATGGTATTTCAAAAAACATCTACTAATACTGGCCGAGTGGAAACCCAGCCTCACCATCAACGATTCCCTCTTCTCCCACTCCTGGATGTGGATTCACCTCCTTAAACTCCCATTTGAAGGTCTCACCCACGAGATTGGTTCCAGGTAGCAAGTTCGGTCTTCAACAGCTTTGATGGTATAGAAATCAGAGAAAAAGAAGACCAATGAGGCCAATTCATTTGTCTTTATGCACTTGTTGATGTTACCAAACCCCTTCGTCGGGGAACTAGACTTCATGTTCTCGGTGAAATTCATTGGATTCCCTTCAGCTATGAACGATTGCCTTCGTTCTGTTACCATTGCGGATCTTTAGGCCATATCCTCACTATTTGCTTGGTTCATGAGGATCGATCATCGGATCAACCTCCTTTTGGTCCTTGGATGTGGTGCAACACTGATCCGGGTAAGCATATTCCAATTTTTCACCTCTCTGGTTCTGATTTCCCTTCTCCGCCAGAATCAATGGCATTTCTGGCACTCTGCCCTATGCCCACGGTCTTCCCTTTTCCTTCTCCTTCTGCAACAATGGCTCCATCGGATATTCGCACCATGCTAAAGGTTTGTTCTACCCCTCTTCCTATCGTCAGCACTGACGTCATGGATAAGAATGTGGTTGGTGAAGCTTCTGTCAGAATGTGGCACATGGGTCAAGGACAATCGCCTTTCTCTCTCCACGTGAATATGCCAACTGTTCTTAAGGTTTTTTCTGGACCTTCAGATGATGGGCCTTTACCTCCTCTATTTATTTTCAATCCAAGCCTAAACCACTCCACAGTTTCCACTCCCTTATCCCATAGTCCAATCCCAAGCCCACCCCCTAACCTTGAGTACTCATCCCCACTTCCTAGCCCAACCCATATTACTTCATTCCCGGGTTATGGCACTAACCTAATAACCACTACCCCTAGCCTAACCCAACATAATACATCCTCTTTCCCTAATGACCTAACCCAACCCATTTAACCCTCTCCTCCAGATATCTCCCCGCTGTTAGCTTCTTTTTTTCCCCGAGAATTCTCTATTCGTTCTTGGAAACGAAGAGCTCGTCTCTCTCATTCCCCCTCTCCCTCACCATCCCTCCTAACCATCTCCAAGAGAAGTTCATTCCCTCCTGATCCTCTAGATGTCTCAGCACCTAAACATCCCAAAACCTTCATCTCTCCTCATGCAACCAACCCTCACTCTTCTGTAATTTCTAACTGGGTGGAGGAAGCCAGCCCTAACTGGCCCCAACCCCTTCAATGAGAGTTATAGTGTGGAACTATTAGGGTGCTGGAACCCCCTGACAGTTTCCTAGTTGAGGAGATTGATTTCTCTTCATTCCCCCTTTATGTTCTGTCTTTTAGAAACCAATAATTCCCACCACTACCTATCCAAGCTCCATCATTACTTCAGTGATTATAATATGTTTCTGGTTCCTCCTATTGGCCTTTCAGGAAGCCTTGCCTTTTTTTTACCTTAACAATTATAGTATCAATATTTTTTACTACATTTCTTTTCAGATTACATGCTTAATTGATGGGGGTATGCCAGTTGATACATGGTTCTTTTCCGCAATTTACGCTTCCTGTGATGTCTCCATCAGAGCCGATTAATGGAATTATCTGCATTTTCTACATACTCGGATTGGCCCTAAATGGATTCTCATGGGAGATTTTAACTCCCTTCTCTATGCTAATGAACAAAGGGGTGGCAACAAAAAAAACAAGGATGGATATTTCGCAACTTTATAAAATTTATTAAAGATTGTGCTCTCCTTAATATGGGCTTCAAAGGCCCCCTTTTTACATGGTGCAACAACAGAGAGGCTGGTCGCACTATTATGGCAAGACTTGACAGAAGCTTATGCTCCCACCCTTGGGCTCAGACTTTTTCTCATAGCAGAATTCACCACTCTTTAGTTTTTGGTCATGATCACCATATCCTTCTACTTCATCTCAATGAGACCTTAGTTAAAACTAAGAGACAATTCTTCTTCGATGCTAAATGGGTCCAAGATCAAGACTTCAAACCCCATATCTCTCATCTTGGCATGAACCAGTCTTGGGTCCAATTTAAAGAAAAGCTCAAGATTTGCAAGAATCATCTCAGACACTGGAGTCGATCCAGGCACACTAACTCTTAGTCTCATATCAAGCTCTTACAATCCCAATTGGCTGCTCTGAAAGCTCAACCTTCTCCCAACAGAAGTGAGCTCCTCCGTCTCGAAATAGATTTATCCATTTTTTGGGGTAATGAAGAACTCCATTCGAAACAGAAATCCAGAGTTGCATGGTTACATCATGGTGATAAAAATACTCATTTTTTTCCACCGGAAAGCTCTGATTAGATACAAAAAAAAAAAAATTGAAATTCTCGGCTTAAAGGATTATACTAGTTGTTGGAAGGACTCCAAAGAGGAAATTCGGTTCATTGCTGAATCCTTCTTTGACAATCTTTTCTCGTCTTCGCCCCCCTCTCCTCATCAATCATTCTTGGATCTATTTCTCCCAAGATTACTGCTGATATGAATTTCAATCTTCTCAAACCTGCAACTGTTGATGAACTCAAGGTGGCTATTGATGGTATGGATCCCTTTAAAGCCCCTAGCCCAGATGGATTCATTCCTCTATTTTTTCCATCAAATTGGGAGGTTCTGAAACCTGATAATGTTTTAGCCTTTAATTCATTCTTTCTTAGTGGCCATCTATCCTCTAGTTGGAATCAAACTAACATCACTCTCATTCCCAAACAGTGCCATCCTACACAAATCACCCACTTTCGCCCCATATCCCTGTGCAATGTTTCCTATAAAATCTTTTCCAAGATATTGGCTAACCACCTCAAACCTTTGCTTCATAACCTTATCAATCTAAACCAGAATGCCTTTATTCCATCTAGATCCATTCATGATAACACTCTTATGGCTAATGAAATTTTGCATTACCTCAAATCCAAAAGAAATGGCGGCACTTGCTTTATGGTTATCAAGCTAGATATGGCCAAAGCATTTGATCGAGTTGAATGGCATTTTATCTCTGCCTTTTTGCTTAAGTTGGGCTTCGACAACCACTGGGTCAACCTCATCATGTCATGCCTCTCATCAGTCTTTTATTCCATTAATATCAATGGAGAGTCAGGGGTCCTATTCATCTATCTAGAGGTCTTAGGCAAGGTGACCATCTCTCTCCTTACCTTTTCCTTTTTTGTGCTGAAGGTCTTTCCCAACTCCTTAATTTATC